TTTTTTTTTTTTTTTTTTTTTTTTTTCCGACGTGTGAGAAATCGCGTTTGAGCTTGGTCTTGATAGAGAGCGAGTTAAGAATGATGATGCGTATTAGAATAATATATCAGACTCCTCTAAGAATGCCTTATAAGAATTGTTTCTTTGGTCACTTTCTATGTGCATTTATTTGTTATTCGTGTTAGATAAGACTCTTGAAGAAAATTTGCTCGTGATTCAATTTATTTGTGGATTTATTTAACTTTAGATTTTCATTGATTTATCTTTGTTATATTTATGAAATGATCTGTTCACAGATTGCAAGCACTAGGAAGGACAGCACCGGAATACACGATGAAATGGCGGAGCGAGTCTGTAATCGCAAACACGCACAAGAGCGGGCCGTCGCCAGCACCGAATCACGTGATAGACTCCTCGACTGGAAATGGACTACTAGAAGCGCGAAACCTAATTCTGTTCGCTATACTATTCGCTTACATGGCCGGTTGTTGAGTCTACTCGACACACCGTGTCCTATACACGTTCCTGTTCACAATCAGAGATAAACTGTTGCGAACGAGCCTAAGATTTGTATTATTGTACCACACTGTGTGTGAACGAACTCGAACATTAATATTATCGTAATGACTACGATCGTGTTTCCTGAAAGTTCTTTCAGCGGTTCAATTTTCTCCAAAAATAAAAAAATTTATGGATAGAAATGTTTAAAGAGCGAAATGATTGCATAAAACGAAACTTATTATAGAAGTTTTAAAAGCTTCATGTTAGTTTTCATAAAATATTACGTCACTGGTATTGTGTGAAGTTTTCTAAAAGTTTAGAAGAGAAAAAGTTCGAGGAAATATCGTGCCCTTTTGATGAAATATTAAAATCAGTCGCCATAAAATTACCTCGCTTTTAATCATACGGGAACTGAATATTCTAAATTAAATAGATTGCTCGAGAATAATTGCAATTAAATGAAATTCATTTCCAATTCGTTTCTACGCAAATATTCGACAATTATTTTTTAAATTGTATATTACTTGTCTGCAATCTATTTTTCTTTTTTTTTTTTTTTTCATTTAAAATAGAATTTCATCGTATTGAACAAAGGGGATAATCAAATGTGTAATAGAGATTAATTTGCAATCATAGTTCTCGAGCAAACGAGCATTGAATGCTGATCAAAGAACACGAAAATTCTAAAATGATTTAATCGAAAGCTCAAATATTTTTCAATTACCGATATTTTAGCGTAATTGTTCGATATTGTCACACGTAGATGAATATTAACAAGGTTAAAATTTCATCTGATAAATTGAAGAGAATGAATAGCATGAAATCGAATTTTGGAATTCAACGCTCTAGTCGAATTACATATATATAAATATACATATATAAAAAATGAATTAAATGCGAATCAGAGAAAACAAGAGAGAAATATATATATATAAATATAATTATAAATCATACACACTCGGTGTATACCACTCGTTTTAATTATAAGAGTCTAATAGAGCATGTACATATTATATATATATATATATATATATATACATATACATAAATTTATATATAGATTGAGACATTTATAAAGAAATATTTAAATATTATCTATTTTATATTATCTTATTAACATTATTTATTTCTACAATTATTAAAGATTAAAAAATAACAAAATTATATTATATTTTATTAAATTATTTATTTTCATTATATAATATTTGCATTATAAATCAATAATTTTTTATGTAACTGTTTTATAATCTTTATATATTAAAATATTTAAAATTCTTTCTATACGTCACATTCTGTCAACCGTATAAATATACATAAATATAAATATAGCAAGTAAATATATACGTACGAAAAGAAACAAAAGAAAAAAACGCGATGCACGGATTTGAAATAGCGAAAAAAAAACCACGCGTCATCATTTTCACGCAAATGCCAAAATAAATATGTAAGAAAAGAAATTCTATATTATAGTTTCTTGTAAATACGTAAATAGCATAAATAAGATTTGTACAGAATATCACGAAATATGTTAAGACCTCGATATAATTGTAAATTACGCGGCAATTTATTGTAAACATGGCGCGAACTCATGAACGGAAACAGATTGTATTTTATCGAACGAGCTTCGACTGTCCTAAGGCAATATTACAAATAATTGTTAACATATTTATGGGATTCTGTCAAAAAACTTTTCTTTCATGAAAAACAATATTTATTTCACGAAATGAAAAATAATTAAATAAAAACTTCGAATTTTTTAAAGAAATAATTGTTTCTTGATCGACTTCCGAAAATGCGATTGATCGTTAGAATAAACGGAATGGAATAGAACATGAATGTTTAATATATTTATCGATTAAAAAATATATATTAAGCTAAATGACACAGGCTTATTGTATTAAAAGAACCATCCAACGATGTGAAAATGTTTCTATTGGTTAAGTTTTATAGCATTACGATATTGCTGCCATTATTTGTACAGAATGTAATAAGCCATATTCTTCGTTTAACGCATTTAAATAATCTTTTGTAGCTTATGACTATCGTATATATAGTAATTTCTATTATTTATTTTTAGTAACATTTTTATACTTCGTAATTGCACAAACTGTACCATTTCGCATCGAAACAATGCAGTTATATTACCAGAGATTTTAATGCCTGTTAAAATTTCTAATTAAATCATAACATGTATAAAACGACCTCTTGTTGCGTGAAATTCATTCGAATCATTACAAACCTTCGATATTAATCTTAATGCTTCTGTTAATATTTCATTTATTATGTTCGAATAAATATAATTAAATTTACCGCACAATTTTCATTAATTAATAGGAATGTGTTTATTATGAGAAAAATTAATAATAATAATAACTTAAAATTTTTTTAGAATTAATTTATAATATTAGCTAATTGAAAGACTGAATTTTATCAGAATGCAAGTAATGATTGAAGGCTAGTAATGATCGAAACGATTAATAAATAAAAGAATAGAAATTTATCCGTAATGAAGGATAAAAATGTTAAGATTTGTATAATAAAAGAATAAGCGCTCGAATAGAAAAATAATAGTCTCTTTTCTGCAACCTCGTCGAAACAGAGATGAAAGTCACAATGTAATTAATCAATATTATTTTAAGAAGTGACATTATGAAAAAAAAGAGACATACATCATTTAATAAATTAACAATTTATATCAGCCAAACAACAATGGCATGTGATTTAAGTGACTTGTGTTTGAAATCGGTGAATCGACAGAAATTTCAGTTGTTCATTCTAAAAAATCATTGAATGAAAAATAAAAAGAAATAAAATTATGAGTGGACCGTTCCTTTTTACATTACTCGATTACGTCCTAACAACGATTGTAATGCGATCTGTTCCTTAAATAAATGTATCGATTTTACACAAGACACATTTACCTTACAAAGGAAAGATACATGTTACTTGATGATACATACAAGATATATGTACTAGTCGCGTATACTTAAGTCAGAATAAATAGTCAATTGTTTCATATAAAGTACGAATAAAATAAAACAGAAATCAGATATATAGTTATGATTTTTTACCTGAATAATATATATCCCAATGATATGAATAATATGAAGGAAGTAATCTCAAGGAAGTAATAGGCACAAATAATAAAACAGATATAATAAAAATTATAAAATCAACGCCATTTTTAAAATATGGTAAATTAAATATATAAGATATAAAGAGAGCAAACTAATAGTAAGAAATAAGGTAAGAATTAACTATCAATACCATCTTTTGACTACCAATAATAAGTAAAATAAGATAGAATAAGAATTAAGAAATAACGCTATCTTTTGAATGCTTGTGGAAAAATTTTATTGCATATTTGCAGCTGTTATTTTTAGAGGATTTTGTATCGTTTTTTCAACATTTTCTAAAGGTAAAAAATAAATTTATCTTTTTTATATTTATTTCTTATAATAAAAGTTGTCATGTTTTGCACTACTAAATGTTTTCTGATAATTTGTTTTTGAAATTAAAATTTAATTAGAAAATTTAGCAATATAGTAGATGTTTTACATTATTAAAATATTTGAAATATCTTGTATTTATAGAAATATTCTTTATAAAATGCATTATTTATAAGGAATAACGTGTTGCACTTGTCATTTAAAAAATACATAATTCTATTTAAAAAAAATAATTTAATCCTCATACGACTTCTATGTTACGACTAATATGTTGGAAACATATTAACAATATTAGAATATATAGAATATATAGAATTTCCTTGAAACCATTCAATTTTTATCTAAAACATTTTTTATTATGAAGAAAAATAATGACATAAATTAAGATAATAATATGAGACATTCTAAATATAAAATGAATATACAATTTATAAAAATTCATAATCAATAGATAAAATATATTTTTTGTTTTGCATTTTTTAAATTTCGTACATGTATAAAGGTTAATTAAATCGTAAGATTGCTTTGATAAAAAAAGGATAATTTATTCACATACAAGTTTTAATACAATTCTACATACGTATTTATACATCCTACAATCGGAAGATGAAACATGTACATCTATAAATAACATATCTACGATTTAATTTTCTTTGTTTTAAGATGAAAATCTCAAATAACGATTCGCTAATATTTTATAAAATTGGCACAAACAGAAACGACGTTTCTAATTGTATTCTCAAATACGAATTGTGGAGTGTGATAAACATTTAACAAAATGTATGCGTATATACATCTACTTTCGCTATTTAAAAAAGAAAACAAATTATCAACATACAATATATATATATAAATGTTTATACATATATAGACAGGGATGAATGTAAAACACTGTTAATAATGGAAAATAAATTTTAACGAATTGAAAACGTAACATTATATTGCACACGATATTTATGTGTATTCGGTGCATAATAACAATTTCTATAAATTTTCATTTAACATACTTTAGATACAACAATTATCTTAACTTACATCTATGTATTCAGAACTAAACAATAATATTCATTGACATTAATTTGCTATAAATATTTACGAGAAATCACATAAAAATCTGTCGCATAATGATCATTCGAAATGATCGTAATCATTTATTCACATTTCCCATCGCTATAAATAATTAGTATATCTATTAAACGGTATTAGTAAGCATTAAAATTTTATAACAGACGTACAATTATATAACGATTATTTTATTCTTATTTTATTCTTTTGCTTTCTATTGCTTTATAAATTCATAACCAGATAACAACTATTTATTCAAGAACTTTTTATTTAATTTATTTTGACAATTTTTTTAAATTAAATTTAAAAATCAATAAATAATTTAATAATATAATGTTTGATGTTTTTTTTAATCTTAATATTTAAAAAAGATATTTATTTTATTAAAATTTTTACGCACGTTGTTTAAAAATCTGTGCGTATTTTTTAATAAAAATTCAAAAGAGGAAAATCTAATATTCCTCAATCTATCATACAAACTTACTCTATAAAAATTCTTTCAAAAATGATAATTGAAAAATTTTTCAATTTTACAAACTTAAATATCTATAACACAACCAAAAATCAATGTTATCAATAAAATCAATCAGATATTTATTTTACATATCCATTAATGGATAGATCAATATTCTTAAGGACTTATTTTAAACAAATTGTAAACATATTAAAATCTCAATGAGAATTTTAGATATATTTTATTTATAACAGCACACTTTGATACACTCCTTTGGCTATTTATTTGTAATGATAAAAATCATGCCAACCTTTAAGATTTTTTCTGATCGTTTAGTTTTAAGTAACACGGACCCTACTGAAATTATTTGCATGAAATGAAATTGATTTGATATTTTTTAATTATAATTAATAAATATTAATATTTAATGTAATTTTTCAATTAACTGACTAAATTTAACATATATGATGCAATTCATTACAAAATGTACTTTTTCTTCATTTAAAAACAACAAAATTAATATTATTTTTAATAAATTTGAGTTTTACTATTCTACTTAAATAACTTTCTTTGAAGTTAGGAACAAAACCGTACAAATGCTACGTGTGTTACTCTCATAGTATTTCCCTGTGTCTTTAAATGCTTTTTAAGAACACACAAACTTATCAATTAAATATCATGTTAGAGTATCAAATTGAGATTCCTATATGATTAAAAACGAAATTCTGAAGTGCATTACTTAGATTTACGCTGGTACGTTGTGTAAAAATGCCGATGCAGAATTCAAAAGACCTAACCGTTGCTTCTGTTTTCGTTGCTCCGTCATCTATTAAAAAAAAAATTTAATTTTATATAAAAATTTAGATTTATATAATTCATCAAAATATTTACAATCAAAATAATGAAAATATTCACAATAATATAAATTCTTAAACATAATTTACCTGATCGCGAAGCTCGGTAAGTTGTTGAGATAAACATTTCACTAACTGTTGCGTGGATTCTAACTGAGATTGTAAACTTCTTAATTCTACTTGTTCCCCTTCTCCCTCATCTGCTGCCAACGATTTAGCTCTCAATCTCGGGAACCAGTCAAGATTTCGATCCTGTAAAAAGTACACAGAGCTTAAAAGTTTAAGCACGATTCAATTTTTTGAAGCTCTATGGACTATTACCTTCACCATAGCATACACGTAAGATTCTGGACCTGTGAATTCTGTAGGATCTTTCACTTTTACCAGAACAATGAAATATAGATAATGCCACATATTATGTTCATGTTTTACATGTTCCTCAAAGGAAACCGTCTTGTTATCGAAAGACGATCTATTCAATCCTGTAAAATTAAATATTATATACAATAACAGTCAAATAAATAATATAAAAATAATACTTACCACAAATGAAACAAGTATTCTTCAAAATTAATTCCTTTTGCTGCTTTTCTGATCTGAGATCAGCAAATGTATCAATGATAACACCAAAAATGAGATTCAGAACAATAATTATTACAATGAAGAAGAACAATAAATCATATACAACTCTAGCAACAAACAAAGGTTCCTGCAAAACAATTATTATCAATATATTGATAGTAGCATCTTTTTTGTAATTTTGTTTCTATACTTACAGTACTAGATGGTGCCCGTAAAATATCTCCTATACCTCCACCATTTCTTAAACCTTGATTCAAAGTTGTAACAATACACATAACTAGAGAATCACATGCTCGTTCTTTTAATTCTCCACCAACATTAATTACTTCTGCTAGACTGTCTTTTTCATGAGCTGCATAATCGTAAAAGTGTAAAAATTATAATTACAAATAATTATATTTTTATAAATAAAAAATGTATTTAAATAAATACCTTCGCGTATATATCGGGATACTGTTTCTGTTGCTTCACATTTTTCATTATCAACAGCATTACAAGTATCTACATTTTCAGTCACATATGATGCTATAATTAATATACATAAAAAATCAATATTTTTATCATTAAAGATAATTATAAAATGTTAGATATTATACTTACATGCAAGATTTTCATCAACAGTTACTAGGAAATCATCTTTGAAAAACATAAAACCGATAATGGAAAACATATAAACTAGAATTAATGCCAATACAGCAGTAAGTATAATGGATCTTCCGTTTCTTGTAACAGATCTTATTACATTGAGCAATGTTTCTTCGCGATACACTACATCAAAGAGCTAAAATATATAAAATTTAATATTTCGCTTTAAGTTTATATCAAATTATTCTATATTCTATATATATTCTATATATTTTAATACGTACTAAAACTGAGTAGAAAAATGGATGCATACAAATACCAAGAACGCAAAATATAAGATATGATATATGATACAAAAGTTCAACATTCGTCACTATTTGCTCTAAGCTCTTTGTCAAAGTGCCCTGATTACCTATAATACTTATGAGATGTACAACTTTTAATACAACCTAAAAAATATTATTAATTATATAAATACAAAAATAAATTAATAAAATAACATTTTAATTATATATTTTTTAAAAAAACTTCTAAATCTAATACCGTAAGGAAACCGAGTAACCATAACGTTGGTTTTGGTCCTATAGAAAAAATCAATCGTAATATTGTTGAAGCTACTAGCGTTCGTATACCAGATTCTCGTGGTAGTGTAATGACAATAACTGCTGACGATAACATTACCGTCCAAATAAGAGCAGATAAATGTGAACTTAGTTCTACAATAAAAAAAGAAAACATTTAAATTCATTTATCCGATAAAAAAAAGTTGTTAGAAAAAAAACTTACTAGGCACAGAGTCTACAAATGGATAGAAGAAAGCTACAATAAGATTTATGAGAACTGCACAATTGAATAAAATATTGCTCCAAAGTGACATATAACTACTCATCCAAAATAGTACTGGTTGTCCTAAAAAATTATAAAAAATATATTTTTATAATGTATTTTTTATGAACAAAACATCAATATTGAAGTATCATATTGAAGTATCATACCTCTAAGTTTCTTTTGCCACTTCATTTCATTGAACATATCTTCAGTCCTTTCAAAGAAGTCTGAAACTTTCGATCCTTGGTCATCACGTTCTGTAGTATGTAATACTTTAATCTTTGTGTCCAATGTAATAAGTTCACAAATTTCAGGAATAGGAAACACAATTTGTTCCAATGTTCTATCATGTCTAACAATCTATATAAAATAAATTACAAATTATTTTTAAAATGTTTCTTAATTATATATATATATATATATAAATGTTATATTATACCTCAATTTGAGCTGTATGAGTTGCATAATATTGTAGTGCTTTATTAATTTTTGGATCTGCATTATTTTGTTCAGATGGTTTTAACATCGATGCTAATTCTTTATTGTGTTGTGCTAATTGATGACATAAAATATAAATATTATGTCCAACCTGAAAAAATAATTAATTATTAATAATTTGTATCTTATTTGTTTATTATTTGAAATTTATTAATTTCCAAATGTATTACTTCTTTGGGTGATACTCCTTCTTCACCATCTGTAGAGGAATCATCTGTATCACCATCATCGTCTAAAGATTCTTGATGAAACGCACGACATGCAACATCAACTAATTGTTTTGGATTCATATTATACATAATTCTTTCTGCATTTTCGCTGTCTCCTCTACTTTCCATTATAGCGAGCAACAATTTGCTAGCATTATTTTTTAACTCTAACACTAAATCCATTCTAGTCTTTCCTAAAGGATTAATATCATTTAGTATTAAGGCTGTAATTATATCTAATCCATTAGACTCGTGAGTCGCGATACAATTCTGATTATCATGACATGGTCCCTGACAATATTCTGTTAATGTTTCCAAAGTCTGATTGATCAGCGCAACATTATGTTCATTTATATACAATCCTAACAATCCTAATCCGCCAGTCGTTGAACCGCAGATGCAATCCAAAAACATAAGCGTTTCGGATACTAAATTAAAGTTCGTTTTGTTATTTTGATTACGTAAGAAATTCTGTAAAAATAAAAAAAATATTAATGTAATAAATTCTACAACATCGAAAGTAAAAAAAAGTTAATACGAATATTAAAGTTAATACGAAAGTTAGAAAAAATTTTACCTGCAAATCACGATTGTGATTTTCACACAATAATTGCAAAAAACGTAAAATTGGTTGCATTACTAAAACTTTCGCACTCAATTGCCCTTCATCTCTTTCCGTACCACTCGTTCCAGTACGATGCCTTTCTAATTTCTCAGCTATCATGTCTTCGAGTGCACTACCAAGAGCTGCATTATTTGATGCATCATCTCCAGAAGCAAGATTACGAACATTCGCATACGCTTGAACAGTGGATGATGCAGCCTGATTCAATTCCTCTCGTAATTCATCTGTTATTACTATTCCATTAGGCTTTCCTGTATGGAACAGAAATTAATGTAAACAAATCTAAATGAATTTAATTGGAATGCGGTTGTATTATACCTGATGTACGCTTTCTCGATATTTTTTCTATTTCTTTATTTTGCTCTTTATCTTCATGAGCTTTAGCTGCTATATCAGAGGTATTTACGGTAACCGTAGATTTGATTTCTTGTTGCGCATCTTTCATCTTATCGTAAAATACCTATTAAATTATATATTTTTTACACTAAATTATTTGTTCTTATAACTTCATCAAAGCGTTTAAAATAATGCTGATTAACATGCCTTGAAAAAGGATTGGCTTAAATCACCACCCATCAATTTATTGTATACGCTTTTCTGAATAATAGGATTTCCTCCTTCTAATAATGCAATACCAAGTTCTATAGCTTCGACAAATATACTCGGAGAGTGTACACTTTTAATTACTAATTCCACTACCAAATCTGAGGCGCCTTCACGATCAAGATGACTTTGAATTTCGTGCAAAGTGCGGCCCGCCCGACTCAATAATTTAGCTATTGGGATTGAATTATTTAATATTTAATATTTTTAAAAAAATAAAGAAAAAAATTATTTTTTAAAAATTTCATCTATACCTCCTGGTCCATGAGTAACTAGAGCACTATGCGAAACTCCAATTTCCACAGTTTCCGGTTTTTGTATAAAGGATTTTCCAAAGTAACGAGCCAAGAGATTGTTTCTTAATGCATCTCCCTAGGAAAAAGGAAATAAGAAAAATATTAGTATGATAAAATAAATTTGAATTACGAGATGTACCAATACATCGTGCATAATAATTGAAAAAAGTTCGAAAAGTTATATTTTAAAGGGAATATCGGTGCATTATACCTGTTATATATTATAAAAATATTAATAATTGTATTGATTTAATAATAAAAATAATTAAATCGATGTGTATATACATTACTTGTGCTTTAGAATAAGAAAAATACTTGCAGCTTTTTATATTTTAATATAAAGATATATTCTAATTGACTTTATGTGAAAACAAAAATATGAAAAAATTAATTTTTATTAAAAATATTGTGATATATTTTAAAAAATATATAACAAAATTACGTTGAGATTGGAAATTTTGAGGAAAAATGCAAAATCAAATAGATAGACTGTGAATTATATAGAGAGATGTTTAATGTATCAAAAATAAGGGAATAACAAAAAGAATTGTTTTAGATACAGTATATGTAGATGTACTATATGTGTACATTTTTGCAATCTAATATACTTATTTAATTGCTTAATAATTCTATATATTTAAAATGCAATCTGAATTCTACATTCTACGTTTTGTTCTCATACTACAAAGGATATAAATTATAATTTAAAAATGGTAAAAAATCTAGAGACGTATTGGTACACCCTATTTGTAATAAAAATATATGTACATATACTGTACTTTCTTATTTTTTTCTATTTCTAAACTCTATGCCCATACTGAAATATACTTAGAGAGTTATTTTACACTAGGTAAAATAATGATTTAAAAATTTTATAGAAATTTTGATTCACGATAAGTTGAAATTATTCAACTTATTCAAATAATTATTTGCTTATCAATTCAAATGCTCATGTAAAAAAAAAAAATCGACATAATTATAATATCAATTTTATATCGTAAATCATAATTATTTTTATACACGAGATCATATACCTATATTAATATAATAGTGCTTATATCCTACCTATTAAAAAGGAAGAATTAATATAAGAATATGATAGAGTACAGTAGATAAAATGAACTATAGTGTATGTAATGAAATCAATCAAGCACATGCATATGGTACCTATACAACGTACATTATATTTGTTCTTAAGCAAATTTCATTATGCATTATATTACGCAGATTGTTATAAACAATTATTAAAGAACATATATTTAAATTTCATAAAATTGTAAAATATAATTAATATATAATAATATAATTAATATATATATGCTTTTAATATTAATATTGGCAGATTATAAATTCCTTATGTATCAACGGGATGCCCTATATTATATTGCATGTATAACAATTGAAACAAAAAAATATCTAATATCAAAACTTATAAAAATATATAATAAATAACGATAGTGATGGTAAGATAAACTCGCATTAAATCAAATTCATGTTGTCAATTTATATACGTTGTGCCCACAAATTACCGTTGTTATCTACTTTAATTTTTACCCGCTCTTGCTGAGTCATTGGACGAGTTTCAGACTCATCGACAGAGTCTGTTCCAACTTGTGACTCGGCCTTCTGCTCTGTTTCTTCTTTTTCCAAGACATCTTCGCTCTTCGTTTGCAGCATGAAAACATCTTTACCTACATATCTATTCTACGAAACCTACTCACCCACTGTTATTTAAATCTTTGTAGTATAAAAGATTTTATTATATGTTTCACTTCATTCGCTTTATTTTATATATGCTAACTAAAATAACTGTCAATCGTGTATATGCTGATTATCTAAAATGTGCCGTGAACATATGGGCATTTAGCTTTTCGGCAAACATGTAAAGAACGAATGGATATGGAGACACAAATTTTCATAAATGTAGGTTCATTTAGAGCTATAACATGTTTAATCAATTGAGGTGCGGTGCTAATTAACGGCAGCAAATCCCAATTAAAAATGGCATGCTTCAAATAATATTTTCAAAATTTTTCCCTCTTGATGCAACAGAGCATTAATATAATTTTAATTTAAAAAAGCGATAAAAATGAATTAGCTTATGATTGCTAATATTTTTGATAATATATTAATAATAATGATTTTCATTTTTTATATTCGCCGAAAACTTACATATCTACCAAATTTGCGCATGCATTTAATTTATCGCATTTGTTGTAAGCTCGAAAATTGCTGAAATTGTTAAATGTATCAATACACTAAGGGCAATAATATCAATCTCTATTACATTCCAAAAGATCTATTAGTATTAAACTAATTAATGTAATAAATAAAGCATGCCTAAAGGATTTGTCACCATTAATTAATATTAATAACATTTTGTCGGAAACAACTGAATGCCCTTTTCCATAATATCTGTGATTCTCTTCATATAATAGATATGATTCTTGTAATCACATGCAAAATATAATATTGTAGAACTCACTTTTTCTCCATATTCAGGGTCAATAGCCATCATTTCTCTAAGAGTCCTTAACACTTTTACACATAATTTTTCCTCCTTCTCTTCAAGTAATTTTTCGGTATGTTTGATTAATCTGAACAATATAGAATTATTGATGATAAAATATATTAAAATAATATTAATTATAGAAAATTATTCACCTTTTGATAAAACCGCCATTTTCGCATCGTTTTCTAGCGTCAGTCGCAGCTGGAAATAGTAATTCTGGTCGATAGAGTATATCCACTAATAAAGATAATTCTGACTGAACTAGTGGTTTCAATTGTTCTTCTAATAACGATACTATATCTTGTAAACCTTCTATGATACTTCGATCCAAACGCATCAGCTATATAAAGATATATTATTTCATAATAATTAAAAAAATATTTAATATCATAATAATTAAAAATATAAATATTTTTTCTAATATATTATATATCTAATAATAATTCTGTTATCTTATTATACATACAATATCCTATTTGTTCGTAGTTTTGGATACTATTCGCAAACTAGGGTTCACTAATATTAAACTATACTAAAGCACTAAAATCATATTAAGCTACTAAACTCAAATTTTTATGAGTGACTTATACCTGATCTTTCTCTTTGTTATCTTCCTCACAAATTAAGTCACTCTATACATTCAAAGATCATATCAATTATAATTATAATCATTCAATATATAATATAAAAATTAATAAAAATCAAAAGGATTTTAATTAACTGATTTTTGAAATAAATTTTTCAAAAAAAATTACCTGACTTTGCGTACGTTCTATCTTTGGTTGTTTTGCAGCTTGAAGCCATTTACTTGTTTGTCTACTAAGCATTGCTGCTTTATTAAACATAGAAGCAACTTGGCTTTCTAAATCTGTTGGAATGGCAATACCTCTCCCTTTAGCTAATGATTTAAATAATATTTTTTTATAAATATAAAATGAATATATAAAAAAGTCTTAAATTTATACAATCAATTCTGTAATTTAAACAAACTTACCTACATCCGACAACGTTCGTATACAATTTTCAACATTAAATCTTTGACCAGCATTTAGCCATGAGCATTGTGAAACTTTAAAAGCCGCATGAAGTAATTGAACGAATATAGGTTGTCGAGTCTATTATAAAAAAAAAATTTCTTTTAATATCATTAAAATTTATTATATATGTATATATATATATATATTATTAATTATCTTATATTGTATTTATTTTTTATATTATAATTTTTATTTAAATTTATACAAAGCAGATACACTCATTATATATCCATAATATAATAAAATATTATAATTATAATTATTATTATACATTATATATTATTATTATATAATAAAATTATAATTATAATTAATATTATAATTATTTTTTGTATGTAATATAACACACTCATTGCCAAGCTTCAATAAAAAAATAGTTTCATATATGTTAAATCACAGATTCATGCTGCATAAAATGCAAAAGGATAGATATAGAAGAGTATTCCAAATAAAATAAGATTTGGTTAGTATTTAACTTATATAGCAAGCTTGCTTAGTCATTAAAGACAGTGAATGTGTTAGTTTAATCCAAATACATATTAGAGTTTATATTTACAATATCTAAATTTTGGAATGTGAAAAATATCATTAATGAATCATATTTATATTTTTCAATTTTCTTTAAGTTGTGCTATTATTGAATTATATAAAAATATATTTACAAAAATGAATATTTATATAACATTTTTTAAATTAAAAAGATTATATATATAGTATTATATATAGTAAAAAATATGTACAATGATGAATAATGAATAAAATTTTCTTTTTTTTAATCTCAAATCTAATCATCAAATTATACTGTATCACATTAATATTGCAAGTATTTACAATTGCATAACTGGACATTTTTTTAATACTGGTACTCACATAGCCAGCAAGATTAGTATCAGTAATCCGGTCACTTTCCTTGATGTTCCAATAAAGTCTAGCCTCGTGGAGATGTTTCTATTAGTAAATCAACCCACCACCATATAGACCCAGCACCCAGACCCAGTAAACCAATGTTGATGAGTCAAAGAAGGCCAGGTGTTGCATGCCAAAAACACAGAACATGCCGCTGATGCAATCACCAATTACCAAGCACACATCAAAAAATATATTATCGCTATAATTATTAATTTATAAGTTAATTTATTACTTTGGCGTATCAGAATAAACAAACAAATATACCGATATAAAAAAAAATACATATATATTATGAAGTATTAAATGAAATAAAACAAATAATTATTTAAATAAATATTAATGCCTTCATAAATGTGTGATATGTACTTGGCTTCTAAATAAATCTAAATTAATGTGTTCATCATGCAAAGCGAGAAATTAATCAGATAAATTAAATAATGGAGTAATTGCACAGATTTTTGCATGTAATTACTTTATGTTAACTTAATTACTTTATGTTTATTTATTATACTTATATTGTATATATATTTGAAAATTAAATTAATATTCAAAAAAAATTTTTATATTATATTATTATATTTATAAGTTATGATAAAAATCATACAATTTTAGAAAATTCTAATTATTACGTTAGTTCTAATTTAACTCCATATCGTTTTCGAAAAATTACCTCCATTATGATGCACTTCAGTTAAGTAATGAAACATAATAAATATTTAATTTTTAAGTATTTATATTAAGATATTTACTTATATAACTATAATTAGAATACTAAAAAACAATAATATCTTATTAGTTTGCTATATATCTCATTATACAAATAGTATTAACTGTACAATTTAAAATTTAATAGAAATAAATATAATTATAAATAAATTAATAAAAAAATTAATATTATGTGAAAAAATGATAAACTTGTGCTATTATTAAAATTACATAAATACATATAGTAAAAAATAATTTTTGTTCTGCTTATTAATTATTTGTGTACATAAATTGATGTGCTTAATAAATTAGAGTGTCAAATCCATTAAATAACTATTAATATTAGTTCGAAAATTCGTGTGACAAGTTTCATAAATAACAAAGATAAATAATTTTGTTAAATTTAACATTTAAGCCAATTATAATAGATTCGAATTGAAATTTTATAAATATATTTCCAAGAAAAAACAAAAACCATGAAGTTTATTTTAAAAAATAAAATAGAAAAATACAATACCTGTACTGTGGTACTTTGATCTGAAAATGGACTGCTAAAGAACGTTGTAATGATATTCATTAGGCAACCTGTCACATAATTTTCCAGAGATATATCAGCATGTTCGCGATCATGCGTAGCTGTTGCTATAATTCCCATATCTACAATGAATGATTTTTCAAATAATGACCACATATGATTTGATGTGTAGATTTCTTTCATTTCTACTTCCGTATCAATGTAACAATGATTAAGAAAATTTATGTATGCTTCTTTTACCTATAAAATATAATTATTTGTAATTAATTTCAAAAATATATTTTTTTTTCAGAAACAATTATCAAATAACTTACTTCTGGTATACAATCCGGATGTGATACCATAGCAACAATATCATCTAGTGGTAAAAGACTGTGACATTTAATTTCAGTATTAACATTTTTGCCCATTGTACAACAAGCTAATAATTTAACTAATTCTACGTGATACCTAAAATATATATTATATATTTATATATACATAAAATATATAATATAATTATCATAATTATAACTATTATTATATATTTTAAACACATACTTAAGTGGGCTACTTTCATCCATCCGATGTCGTTCAGATCGCATCATTTCCACAAAATGATTAAAAGAAGCTCGATCGTTATAAAAAACTAAAACGTCTTCACCTGCTTGAACCAACTAAAAAAAGCAATTATTAATAATTTACATATTTTTAAATATAAATGAATTTATTTTTTCAAATTAGTATCACTTACTTCTTGCATCACCATTTCCTGACATTTTCTGATAAATTGATTTTCGGCTTTTACTATTGTTTGAAGAAATTTTAAATATTGCACATGTTTCCCATGAGTTTCTATGCAATGTACAAAATGTTGTATCACTTTAGCACTTACTTCATTGCACAAAGTCGAATTATCTTGAAAAATACTACATATCGTTTGAGCTTCACGTATACCAGGATTTAGAAATAAATCTAATTGTTTATGCAATAGAACTTGATTTTGTTGATTTCCTAAACAAAAATTTTGCAAAAAATCATGCGCTAATCGCATTAATTCATTCATTCTAACATCTTCTTTCGCATCAAATGGAACTTGTAATAAATCTAAAACAACGGTGTGTACTCCAACATTACGTAAAAGTCTTTGTTCATGTTTTCGTGGTTTTATTTGACCACCTATCGTTTGGATACATAATTTGTTCATTCGAATTAGAATTTGTTGTATTTTTTTGTATTCCTCCGCTTGATCTGCATGTAATGGTGGACCAATATCTAAATCTATTGCAGATCCTATAATTATAAATAATATTTGTATTAGAAAAATTTTGCCTTTGATTTTTCAACTTATTTCAATATTTTATTTAAAAAAAATTATTAACAAAACCTTTTTTATCCGTCGTAGATAGTTGTGGTGGTGCTTTACGAGGAGTAGCTCCATCATCTTCGTCTTCTTTATTTTTCTTTTTTTTGTTGCCATGTTCTTCTGATGCTTTAGATTTATAAACCCAAAGTTCCGACTTTTCAACTGATTGTCTTAAAACATCCAAATCTGACTTTATTTGTTTGTAAGATTCAACATCACTATCGGAAACCAAAAGTTGAACCTATTTACAATAATTTAATAAATTTATATTTTTTCATTTATATTATATGATAACATTAATAAATAATATTTAAATTTAATGTTAAACATACTTGTTTAAATGCTTGTAAAACTTCTTGTCTTTGACTAAAATGCCTAAAAAGCAAATGTAATGCTCCGGAAACCAGTGGAGGATAGTCATGCATTGCCAAATGGAGTAAAACACGCAGAAATGTTCTACCACCTTGTCCATCTAAATCTAGCGCTACACATTCCTCGCTAAATAAAATAATTATTGAATGAAATATTTATTTAATATAAATAAATAAAAAAAATATTATAAAAAATGAATAATATATTACCTGCTACCAAATATACCCTCCGCTTGTGTACCTATTAATTCTAAATCAATAGTTTTTTGGCCAAGACTCAAATCACCAGACGCTCTTTCAGTTTCATCAAATTCTTGTTTGAAAATACTCAATAAACAAGAAATTCTATAATCCAATCGAACATCAAGTATAAATTGTAAAATTTCGATTATTTTCAATTTTGTATCCATCACCAGAGGATATTCTTTCTTTAAAAGTGGTTTTGGTCTTGGAGAAGAACTTCCTGCTAATACTTGTCCTGCTGGTCCCAGTGTTAAGCTTGTCATTACTGCACCCATGTCTCCAATACATCTTAATACTCCACCTTCCGCTATTAAATATTATAAACACTTTTAAATGTGTTCTTAATTTATTAAATAAAGTAATTTAAAATTTAAAATCTTTTTTATAAATTTAAAAAAAAAAGTAACTTCAAGTTTTAAAATTGAATTAAGAATATAGTTATATTATTTGAGATCGCTGCTTTTAATAAAATATTTATATTTTTTAACATAAAACCGATTTAAAATAAAATTGAAAAGGAAAGTATCAAAGGAAGATGTGAAACAAATAGAAGTGCAAAAAATATTACAAAGTAACATGCTACCTAATTAATTCGCAGTAATATATTACCTATGTCCTTAGAATCCACAGAATCAGCTTTAGAAGTTTTCAATATTAGTTAGTTAATCACTTAAAAATATATCAAAATATGTGCGTATATATAAAGTGTATATTTATTTACTTATATTATTAATTTATCTACATACTATCAAAATAATTATATTGTTAACTTATACATGAATGTTAAAAGGCTTATGATATCATTTATTTATTCGGTATTAAATATTTACATAATGTAAAAGGAAAAGATACAGTGACATTTTATGGTGTAAAGAAAGGATACATTTATCGGGAATTAATAATGTTATACAAGGAATATTACATCCAAACGATGTGTTAATTGTGCATCTATTAATAAAAAAACAATTTTACGATGGACTTACAATCAATTTCACCAGTTGGAATTTTTCCATCGGCTACATCATTTTCTGAAATACAATCCAAAATACTGAGTAATGTTTTCGTTAATCTCAAAAGATCACTGAAACTATAGAATCCAAAATAAATTAAATCACGTGCCAATTTAACGACCTAAAACAATATTAAAATATTAAAATAATATTATATAATTTCTTTTAATTATTTTATAAATTTTTTTAGATAAAATATATTTAATATAATATCTTACTTCAAATGTAAGTTTATTTTGTTCTTGATCAGCAAAGGACCACATTTTTGCTACAACATTACACAAATAATCTTCTACAAACATTATAGTTGCGCTAAATTTAGCACGTACAGCTTCTTTATTTTGATCCCGCATCCTGTTTGCATCATAACTAAAAGCAAACACAATACATATTTTAAAGATATCAAAACATATACAATTACTTCCTATATTATGTAATTCTCTTTTCACATACTCATTAATACTCATTTTCGAAGGAATTTCAGACCACAGTCGAGCATATTTAACTGGCGTAACTTGCTCTTGTGGATCTCTATCAACATGAAGATGTAACATAAGTCGGCAAAATGATGCGCGTAATTCATATGGTACTGTTTCATCCTCCATACATCTAAATTTTTCATAAAAATATTTTATATAGTATAAATAATTATTTAATAATGATGACATTATTTTTACTTACTTAAGTATAAGACCAATATCCAAATGGGGTGATAAGTTATTCAATGCCAAATATTGTCTATTTAAACACATATTACTAAAAAGATTTAATTGATGCCTATAGTAATCCAATATTGCCGCGTCTTGGATATTGCCTATCTTTGCTCCCCTTGATAACTCATTTAATGACATTGATTTCTGCAGATATCATTAAAAATCATGAATAAACTATATAAATATAAATTTAAAAATATTTATTACAATACTAACTGTTCCATTATTCCATATAAGGAAAATTTCATATTCTTCCATCACAGTAATCCGCGGTTCATCATTCTCTTGTTTCTCATCTAACTCTTCAACCTCAACTTGGGTTTTCGTCATTCTAGAAGAAAAATAATAATAACAATCGTATATGAATTTATATAAATAAAATTATTATTATTAATGAAGTATATCTTACTTAGTTTCTATTAAAATATCTTTATTTTTTTCACTTAATACACTTTTGCAAATTAATTCTTGTGTCACGGCAATTGCTTTTCTATTAGAAATACACAAATCTGATAAATAATCCAGGAATCTAGATTCCCAATTGTGCATATTTTTTCTTACAAGTCCTACAAAAGTTTCAATTTCTGCCGCCGTGATATGCTTTTCTAATAATTTTCTATTATTATGTAATAATGCAGTAATAGTGTCTTCCGCCAAAATATCGTATCCAATTTGTTTTTGCATAAAAGCAAAATGTTTTGCAATGTATTCCTGTTTTATAAAATAAATTAGTAAAAATTTGATCGATATAATTAAAAATAAACTACAATTATATATAATACCTGATTTTTTCGATAATCTTGTTGAGATAATCTAAGTATTCGATAACATAAACGAAACATATATTTATACGGCGCGTGTCGTGGATCGTTCAATTCTTCTATCCTAAGAAATGGTCCCTCACCTTCTGCAGACTCTAAGAATGGAGCCTACGAATAAAACTTTAGAAAAGTTACATATCTAAAATTTAGATTTAACGAAACATTTGACAATTTATAATACCTGAAGTATTTTAAATAATTGACCAAGTATATATTGTTCTCGTAATAACTTTTGTCGATCTCTAACTGCATTAGTAACGATTAAATCTAAAGCTTCGGATTTATTTTGCTCATTTTCTAAACCAGCTATAAAATATACTATATCTTGTAATAAACTGGTTACGGCTCGTCTTTCATTATGTGAAATCGTTCCCTTTTCCAGTTTGCTACTAATCGATGCTAATACTTTACAAGCATCGTTTGCAAAATCAAGATCTCGCACCTCGACTGGCGATACAGATCTTAAAGCAAAAGCCTCTTTATCTTCTTTGTTAATGGCACAGCCAACCTTATAATATAATTGAGACAAGTGTCATTTTAAAAAAGATATAATAGATATAATAGAACAGATTATAATATATACTTATTAGTTATAGTTTTATTAAAATACCTTTGACATAACAGGTTTTTCATCATCTTTATCGATTGGTACACTAGTCGAATGAACCCAGGTATTTGTACATATATGATGTAATCTAACGAAGGAAGATTGTGGAACTAAACTATCGCCTCTCGTTAATGTAGTTGGATCCAACTCGAATAAGGAACTTATTTCATTACTATGTGGTACTGATACTAATCTATATACCGGTCCTGGTGGATCTACAAATTAAACAATTATATATCTTATTTATATTTACAAAGACAATAAACACAGAAATTACGAATACTTATTATACAACTATGAAAAGTTTCTTTACTCTTACAACATGCATAAAAAGATAATTTGACGTATACAATCCTTGAAGCCACTCGTTGATGCTACTTTACACAGAGATATCTATCTTACCACGCTTGCCTTTTGTGGTCTCACGTGGTTCGTCGGTGTCAATTTCTGCAGCCAAATATTGCCCTGTCGCCAAATGTTTAAATCTGAACAAAGAGTTCCAGTGACCAGCTCCTCCTCTGCAAGGATCGTGTTGAACTACCTGCAGAAAAAATAATTAATTGAAATTTCTCTATTAATAACTATAGCAATATCTTATTAGCATTAAGAAACCATTTGTTTACCTCAACCTCCCACAAAGCTTTACTACTCGTAGCAGCAGTGGCACTCGTTCTACCAGTGGTCCTAAGAAATACATGTTGCTTCTTCTTGTACTCATCCATTGTGAGAAATTTTTCTTGCTCTGCATGAAACAGTCGAACGACATCTCCACCTTTTAAAATCTCCTCCTGATTCTCTCTGTGCTCCATAAATAACGTTACTTTCCAAGACGTGGCTGAATTCACAACGTTCACCTCCTTGCAACCAGGATTGTCGCTCAACTCATAATTAGCGGCCACATGCAACCCTTGTCTTCCAGCATTCACTGGTTCCAAAATCACTTTGTCACCAACGACCACACTATCTCCGTCGCTTCGAAGTTTGTAGAAGGGCATTATATAGAGCCAAGAGCCCTCGTTTCCATTCGCGTCTAAATACACCCTCATCGCGTTTTTTTCGAGGAGCGCCGGAAGTCTCTTGTTCACCGTCAAAAATTTATTGGATTTGAGATGTAATAGCTAGAAGAAGAATTTGGATAATTTTTAAATTAAAATTATTTAATTATCGTAAATAGGATAAATATTATTTTGGAATTTTTTTTACATTATTATAATAATCATATTAAAATATTTTAAATTTAAAACTATTTCAAACCATTGCAAAATTTACAAATAAAAAATATATCGCTATTAATAATTAAATACAATAATTTATTGAAAAAATCATTGTCCTCAAAAAAAAATAAGAAAAATAATAAAGAATAAAAAAAAAGTTATAAGATTCTAAAATAAAAAACGCATCAATCACTTCTTGAATATATTTTAACTCTACTATAATTTCCGTGCATATAGAGGAAGAAGTAATAAAGTAGCCCGATAGTTCGACAAAGACCCAATGTTATTGCATCACGTTAAGTAAGTAGACGTCTAATGGCGTTCATAGACTCTAGCCCGTTCGTCAGGTGACGATATTTCGCCTCTGTGTATATAATACATTTAGCGACCGTCACTTCGCGTAACGTTGTTCCCCTAGTTGTTGATGCTAAAAGCACCACGAATACGATTAATAATTCGATCATACACTTAAAACAGCACACAATTACAGGAGCCGCTATTTTGTTCCAGGGATGAAATTTCATGTTTAGAAGCAATAGTATTGAATCTTAACGATGTCTTCCGCGATAATTCTATATGACGTATGTATACAAATAGGAAGTTGGTTCTGTTAATTGGCAGCTAGTTATCGTTTTGCGTCGTTTTAGCAATAAAACGAACGTAAAAAGAAAGCAAAATATTATATTATATATAGTATAAAATTTAATATTTAATTAGCCAAATGATTCATTAAATAATTTATTGTTAAATTTAAAATAAAGATGTACAATAAGCATTGAAAATATTTTTGAAGATTCAGTGATTTTTCATATAACAGGTCTTCCATCACAAGAACAATAGGGTTTAAATGAAAAGAAATGAAATTTTGTATTAAAGGTAAAGAAAAAAAAATGGATTATTATCAAGTGTTTCATTCAGAAAGTGTTATTTAATATTTTCATTATTACAGAAATGCTAAGCTCCCGAGCTTTTATATAAAAGAGAGTTGTCCTTGAGTTCTAAAGCAAAAGCTGACCTTTTGAAGCGTGTAGCGCAAGGTAAATTGATTTACTTCGCGTAAAACGGGGACAATATAAAAATATATAAAAATATTAAAAAAACAAAATGGGGATTATTTGTTCCTTACCTGGACGACGTTACCATAGGAGACTACACTGCCCAACAATTTCTTGTTTTCAGTCTCATTTTGCTTCTTTTCTATTTCAGCGGCATGCTAATAATTTGCATCGAATAAGAACATTTATTTAATCGATAATCAATAAATAATTTTATTAACTTTTCTATAAATAAAAGTGAATAAATATTTCATAAAAAATCGAACTCACGTGCAGTCTTTTTAAAAGCACCGCGTCGGTACCGCCAGCGCTTTGTTTCGCCGCCTTCCAAAATTGCTTTTGGGCGGAATAACGATTCATAGGACATATTTTGAAAAGACAATCTGAAAGGTTAAACAAAAAATATCAACAAAATATTAATTATAATTAGAAAAGAAAAATTAGAAAAAAAAAGCAAGTTGAAAAAAATTAAAAATAAAATTAATGATAATGATCGTTAATTCTGATAATCTACCTCTGAACTTCTTTGGTGGATTTGACAAATCTCCAGCTTCGGGACATACCACGCATCTGTCATCCACCAATCTAGAAAATGATTGAAATTATTTGAAAGACAATTTAATTTCATTAACAGATATAAATTAATTTCCATTTCCTTTTTACAAAAAATAATATCCTATAAATCCTACTAAAATTAATACCAATATTCCATCCAACTTTTCGACTCAAACTCGTTTCGAAGTTACGATTATTATTCTAAATTGCTTTCAAACTTGATAAAACACTTTGGAGATTGTCGTGAAATAACAATAAAAGAGGTCCAGCTCGAACGAAAGCAAGCTACAGATCGATATTGGGGCAGGCCAAGTCTTGCCCGGGAGCTTTAAAGCCACACAGCGATGAGAGATGCTTTCATCTGCCAAAATATCGTTGTTCGTCGCCCCTCCTGTTCTCGCACGTCGACGAACAAGTGCACTTCCGGTGGAGCAATATTCTGACCTCGAGAAGGTGCAACGCTCCCAGTCTAACAAATTACATCCCCTTCTTTGAACGTGGGGAGAAGAACTTTTTCAACGTGAATGAAGATATACGACTGTTGTGTATCCGTTGTCAGCCGTAGTTGTAAATTATTTTTTACAATGGAATGATATACGAGGAATGAAAATGGAACAACTTTCGAAGTCGTTTTCATTAAATTATTTCATTAATAATTTTTCGATGAAACTTGATGAAACTCGTGTGAATCAAAGCGTGAATTGGAACTTGAATATCTTTTAATTTTTTAAATACACCATTTATATTATATTAATATTATATATATATATGTTGGGGAAAAAAGAAAATAAAATTTAATGATACGTAAATCGTACTTGTGGTAAATTGCAGCCAATATCTTTTTTTGATACCCTTTCGAAATTGCCCCAGATATTTTTTTTAGAACGAATTTTAAAAAACAATTTATCGTTCCATAAAATTTTTAAAATCTTTTAATTCGAGTAAATATCATACGATTTAAAAAAAAAACGTGTCAAATTTAACTGATTAATACGTATTAATATTAAAACGTCTTTATTATTAATATATAACATATTCTGTCAGAGAAAATGTCAATACGTAAGAATAGATTCGTCACGGGGAATGTAAACGGAATAGAGTATTATTTTGCCACAACAAAGGCGTGTTTACGAGTTGGACAGAGACGAAGATACCATATTGATCGACGGAATACTCGCGTTAACAGCAGCACAGAATTCGCCATGGATGATTAACGCGAAACAGAATCAGAGACAAAAACGAATCTTATCTGAATAACAATTAAGAAACGCTGTTTTAATCAATGGAAGAAAGTTATTACAAGGCTCGGTCGATTACATCCGTTTCACCGGATACTCGGTTATCCATAAGTAACCACATCTTGTTGTTGTCACTAATAGAATACAAAGCTAACGAGATTGCATTTAGGCTTCTTTTATACGTAAACGTAAGCTGTTTTGGCTACTTCGAAAACTAGTAAAAATGTTCAGTAAAATATACAAAAGGCTACAAAATTCGCACGAAATAAAATAATCTGTTCGATGAATTATATTCTTATTTTGATGATTATTTATATTTTTTTTTCACGAAGTATTTTATTTAATTCATTATTGTCTGTTATTATAATTAATAAAATATTCGTGATTAAAAATTTAGAATTTTTTACAATAACGTAAATCTCAAGTTAGTGATTGATAAAAAAAATATTTGACTGGTAATTTTATGAAAACTGATATGATGGATAATGTATGTGTAACAAATTGTTGATCGATGATTAAATCTCGATAATTAATCTCTAAAATCGTCGATCAAAGAAATACAGAAAATAACAGAAAGTTACTATTCCTATCTACATAACTTCCATGATAAATGGGTAAAATGTGGAAAATATAGCGTCTACAAATCAACCATTGTGTGGATAATATATCTTGCAAAGAAAACAACAAAGAAGAAGAGGTTTCAAAGGATATTATGTATAGGATGATATTGCATTCTGTAATGATACTCAATCAAATTATTTATCGTTCGCGTAACAAACAAAAGGGAAATACTTGTATTCTCTTAAATATTATTAATGGAACCGATTACGCTATTTCGAGAATAATCTTTTTCTGCATATCGAAGCATGCATAAACAATGAATCCAGTCTGTACATTTGCACCATTGAAATCGATTATACGATAAATCGAGGTTGCACGTGGATTCCAATAGACAAACAACGAGAATCGACGTGTGTGCACACCTGGTGTGTAACCGCGAACATCCGAACGCGATACGTCTAATTGTAACCACATCTCGACCCTGACACCCACATCTCTTGTTAATAACCCATGATTAAATCTGTCAGATTCGATTTTCGATCGAAAGATTCAATTTCGAATCTGAAGATGAATACCAATCCAAAAAAAAAGAAATGAAGAACAATTTCAATTTGCAAAACAAGATCGATCTATCTTGTTCGAGTACAATACGTAAATTGAAATTAAATTTTGTTAGTAACAATCTCCATTAAATATCTTCGCTAATTGAAGAAAAACAATTTCTTTTCAAAAGGAGGTCAACTGATCGTCCAATACGTTTGAAACTGAGATCTTGATTCCATTGCTCACGTTTCCTCGAATAACCCAAATATTCGTAGATTCAATTAATTCGATCCAAGTCAAAACTATTCGTAGAGAATAGTTGTTTATCGAAACAAAGCGAATCAATTATTCGAATGTCGTGATCCACTTCCATCCACTTTTCCTAATAATAAACCATTAACCATATAAATATAACATAAAGAAAAACAAATAAATAAATAAACTAAAAATTTCCTCTAAAAAACGAAACGAGCTAACTCATTCCAAATCCGATATGTCTCTAATCGAATTACAGAGTCTCGATTCTACCTTTTCCACCAAAGATCTATAGATCCATAAATCCAATCGACGTTCAACTCGAAATATTATCTTCGAATAATATCTTCAAAGCGTGTAAAAAATAAGAAAAAAAAATTGTAATTTCGTTTTTAGAGGAAAGTAAATTGATATACGATTCACGATATCGGTTTTTAATCAGTGCGTAATGATAGAGAAGTGGCCTGGTACCGAAATCGAAGCTGTTGGTTCACTCGGTTCAACGAACAAGAAGATGACACATGCACGCCATGTAAATTTTGGAAGAGGAGTTATCCACGATATACATGATGGTACATAGCTGTTCGATCCGTGTATTTGCAAAAAACGATATACCTCCTTCCTCAATCACGTTGATGACGTCCATCATATAATTGCGATTATCCATTATTGAAGCTTGTAATTGCTACTGAAAAGATATTACGAACGAAACAGAAGAGTTAGTTTGAACTTAACACGTACGTAATGCGTGTTATCTCTGTTGAAAAAGCTAGAAATCTAGCAGAATATTTCTTGAATATTCTTCATAAGAGATATCCTTTTCCTTAATTTATTTAATTTCAAGGACGTTCCAAACGAAAATTAAAATATCTATATATTTTTTTCTCTTGTATGATTTATAAAAATTATTTATTTATAAGCACAAATGGGAAACATTTTATCGATAAATATTCGTGAAAATTTATATTTTTGTTGAACACAATTGTGATGAAATGAAACTGAAATAAAAATCTGTCCCCTTCCTTTCGATATTACAAATAATTTCTTAATATTTTCTTTTGGGTTTTTTTATATCTTTTTTGCATATTCTGTAAATTTTCCATAAATGCGTAAACTTGCGCAATCTGGTTATTAATATTCTGCGGGTATATAAATTTTATCTCAGAATCGATGTAAAGATGATGTAAAAAAACTGAAAGCGACACACGTTCCTAGTATTTTGAATGTCCTTCATAAATTTTCATAGATGCAATTAATATAATTTCAAGGACTATCCCGAAATCGGAGTCTCCAAGACGAATTGGAGGATAATGAATTCTCGCGGATGGAATCCACGATACGCGTACCTTACTGCACTTTCTGCTGATCAATAAATCACCCTGTCCCACACCCTCGATAATTTTATTAATAAACTTCGTTGATGATCGTTTAAAATTGTTAATAACGCGTATACACGTGGTAAAAGAGGAGAAAGAATAGAAGCACGATTGTAAGGGTTGAATATTACGAAACTATCTATCGAGAAAAGATTGATGGGATGATTATCGGTGACAATCTAATCTATTGGTTAATTAAGCATTGACGCAAAACGAACATGCAACAATCGTATGATATA